CAAAGACAAGAAATGGATTATTTCTGCCTCAAAGGTATTTACTCATTTCTTAATACGTGCTGTAGAGTTATACTATAAATGGGTTTGAAGGTTTCAACCCTCGTGTTCAGTATTTGTTAGAAAAAAAGATAACGTTCCTCATAAAAGTAAGTTGTAATCAGCGATCATCTTGAGTAATTACAGAAATTCCTAAAAGAATGGGTAACTGTAGTTTTTTACATACACATATGCAGTGTTAAGATTGCTAAAATTGTTTCCAAAATAATGATAGTTAAAACAAAACCTCTAACCTGAGTTTTACTTCAGCATGTGTTTAATAACTCAAATTACATAGGTGATAAGATTTCATTAAAATGTTGTAAATTACTGTTTTGGCAGGACGCAAACATATCAAAACAAGTGATGTTTTTTCTTAGGATTCTACTTTGAGGCTGTGGAATGTGGAAAAGGTGGATCGTCTTCCTTCAGTGATGGAGAGCAGAAAAGCAAGAGGCTCAAAAATAGCTCAGGTTCTGTCGTTTTATTGTCTAAGAATAGCTTATACTTTTCATATTTAGACATTAAAATTGAATGTTAGAGGGAAGCTATCAGATTTGCCAGTTGAAAACAGATATATTTTGTTTGTTCTCTCTTTGCAAAGATCTTTGAATCCTTTATTATGGGAAGGATGTGATAGTAGCAGCTCCTTTCTTTCTTAGCACTAGTCTTGGTAAAGAAACCAATTTTCATATGCAAGTGTATTTTTGTTGTTAGAAAACGCAGTAAGCCATTCATGTGTAATTTTAAAACACATTTTGACTTTTTACACTGGATATGTCTGCAAATAGACCTATTTAGGAGTGTTGTCCATGGCAGCAACCTTCGTGTGCTCATGAACAAAATCGACTTACACAATTTCTGAAGGATTTCTTTTCAAAACCCAGACTGTGTGTCCTGGATTCTAAGATATGAATTATAAGATAGATTGATGTTAGGAAAAAGGAGCATTAAAAAGCTTAATGCTATTGAAACATGCTTTTTATTATAACCCTCTTAATTGTTTTTGATACTAGATTTGAGAGATAATTATGTATGTTTTCCTCTCTGTCAACAACCATTAGGTGAAATTGAATGAGAAATAACATTGTATGTGTTTTATTTTTAGTATGAATCTAGTATTTTATTAGACTTTTTAGATGTTTAAATAAGTTTTGGAAAGGTGACAGCAGTGAAAATATGATGTACGTTCCTGAAAGTATCATTTGATAAGACAATTTAGTACCAAAACAAAAAAAAAGTTATTGGAGATATTTTAACATATAGAAATGTTAGAAAAATATGTCTTGTTATCTTCTTTGAAAATAGTTTTACAAGTAGTGAATTGGTAACCAATGTAGTGTTGAATCTCAGAGAAATTGATTCAAATGTCCTCAGTAGCATTTAACCAATAGCAAGGTGTCTTACCCACAACTACAGTGGGTTAATATTTTGCTCAAAATGTTTGTATTATATGGTAGTTCCTCCCCCCCCACTTTTTTAAAATTTTTCCCACTACATATACTTTTATTCAAAATTATTAAGTCAGATAAAGGAGATAAGGGCCAGGAGAAAAAGAAGAGCAAACAAAGACACTGTTCTGGCCCCCAGGCATTAACACCAAGGCAGAAGGGTTAAAAACAGGATACTCATCAGATTGCTCCCAAAATAAAGCAAGATACTGCATTAGTTAAAGCATTATCACAGTCCACATCAAATACAGCTTTAGTCGGGAAAACATGTGCACCATGGTAGTAAATTCTGAGCAGCACTAGCTCTATATCAAGTTTATGAAAGCTGTAAGTGTGGGTGCGTCTGAGAAATCAGGCCTGCATCCAGGTGTGTATAAATGACTGAGCTTCAGCGAGTGAACTAATGCATTGCTGACACCAGTGATCAACCGAAATATCATTTCTGTTATATTTGCACTAGTGTGAAGAATGTGAAAAACCTTTCTCCTACCTGCATTGCAGTGGCTCTGAAATGACAAACAAGTGCGTGTTCTGTCGTCTCTCTTCTCCGGTGAGAAATGTTTTGCCCTTGCCACCTTCTGTTTCTCCTGATGTTTAAACTCATCTGGCAGGCCCAAGATGTTAACACAATTACATACATAAGTGGAGTCCTTACATCTTTATGTTCTGCTTGTATAAAGCTATGGGTTCCCTCTGAACTTGCTCTGCTTTGGTGCTGTGTATATAGAGAAATAAAATATGTTGTACTAATCCATGGATAGTAGTGACATATCCTTACAATACAACAGGTGAAGAATGAAACCCCTAGGAGCTGAAATCTGTTTGCACTGCTAGAATATAAAATTACTTCCTTGTCCTTTGTTAAACTTTAAATGATTGCCAACTATTTAAATAACTTAAGTCATTCTTTTTCTACGGTGGAACACAAGGAATCTCTGCTCTCAATGGCGATCGGAAAGGGTTTTGTGAATAAAACCAAGAGTAAGACCATAAGCTTTGCACTAAGTTATTGCCATACCCCTTATAGAAGTGATGCAGAGGAGCGTTCAGTCTTGAGAGCAAGTTGTAGCTCATGTCTGACACGAGGCAGGACACGTTCCTTGTGTGTGAGAGAGGCTCGTCCCAGGAAGGAACGTGGCTTTTTTACCTCCTTTCTTAGCGGCATCCCGAGCGGATTATATCTACGGTTACACGTGAAAATTGGCAACCTTTTCGACGTTTTTGTTTGTTTGTTTGTTTTTCCTAAAAGGAACTTAGAATGGGGAAAATACTTGGGACTTGGCATGTCCCTGCCTGAACACAGTTAAGCTGTGGAATAGAAAGAAATCTGTTGTAAGTAGGTGGATTTTTTACTATTTATTTAATTATGTGGCTGTGTAGCAGCAATTGCATTTGAATCTGAGGTTAAAAGAGAAGCATTTCTAAGGCATGGTGTATTTTACACAGTTTTACAACTTCTCATAAACATTGGGTGATAAGTTGCGTTACTTTACAACATTCTCCCCCCTTTACTGAATTAAACGTCACCGTTTCGACACGGAAGCTTGGCGAGGGGGTCTCCTGATGCTGCTGTTTGCGGAACACACCGAGCGGGCAGGTTTTCCCGCGGGAGCGGCGGCGGCGCGGGCGGCCGGGCCGATGTGGTGGCGCCGCGCCTGTCTAGTAAACAGGAGATCCTGGGTTCGAATCCCAGCGGTGCCTTTTTTTTTTTCCCTCCGCCCGCGCCGCGGATTTTTTGCAGCCGTTTCCCCAGGGGGGCGGCGCTGCCCCCCGCGCATCGCGCAGCTCCCGCTCTGGGCCCTGGCGGTGCCGCTTCCCATGGGACAAGGACGCGGCGCAGGGAGCTTCAGCTTTTCGGCACGGTTGCTGCTTTTATGAGATTTTCATTCATAAAGAACAAAGACGATTCCGATTTTCCTTGTTTCCTCTCTCTAACTTTCACCAGGCTGTCAGCTGGGTAAATGAAGCCAGTACTTCCATTCCCTCTTCCTCTTCCCATGGTCTCAGTCGATACTGGCTATGTGCTGGATGGAATTTGTCACCTGTCATTGCTGAGACTTTTCTTCTGCTTCTATCCAGCGGTTTTACCTCTGATTTGGTCTTCTCCACTAGAAGTCTCTCTAGTAACGTCTCTGTGTAGTTTTCCATAAAATGAGTGAGGCAGGAGACTAACAGCAAGTTTTTCTAGAGATTTTTAAAAATGAAAGGCCCAAACCTGCAGATAGGCTCGTGAGGTGTGGTACTTACACCCCCTCACTCACCTTGAGAACAGTAAGTACAGCAGGTAGTTATAATGGATATTTAGAAAACACTTTTGGAATTTTCTGTCTCCTTATCTTCTGTGGCTGTGTGATTTTTAGCCCAACTGTGGGCACAAAGCTGACCAGTTTTGGTGAATTCAGCTGCTGAGACTCAATCAATGTACTGAAGAGCCCGCGTGTGAAGTGACACCACATCACTTGGCCTTTATGCACAAACAGTGAAAACATTAAAATGCAGTGTCCACACTTTAGAAGCTGCAGGGATTGCTCCAAGCCACCCTTAGCTCCTGCACTGTGGTGACCAAGGATTTTCCTGAGACCTTCAAACTCGTACACGGGGTTCATCGCCGTCACCACGCTCCGAGCTGCCGCCGCAGCGAGGTCGTGAGGGTCCAGCAGCTCCCGAGCGAGCGCTCTGCCGGCCGCCGCGGCTCCGCGCTCGGCGAGCCCAGCCCTCCCACGCCGCTGTCTGCAGCAGAGCCCCTGGGTGCTGGGAAGCCCTTTGCCAATGGCACTGGCGTCGCCACGCATGAGGATTCGGGTGAAGACACTTGATGTGAATATCAAGTGAAGCCGCGCGGCCCGTTAACCCCGGTTGGCAGGAGCGCCCCATGGCGCTGCTTCGCGCTGCCGCCCCGGCACGCGCGCCAGGATGTCGTGGATCAGCCCTCGGCGTCGGGAGCACCGCCATGGGCCGCTGCGGTCTGCGTGTTTGGAAGCAAATTCTGTTTGTGTTTTTGAGAGTTTGGCTGTTTCAGCTCAGAATGAAAACCAAGATCCTTCAAGCAGGGAGACAGGTCACCTACAAAGCGAGGCTAAAATCTTTAGCTAGAAAACTTGGGGATCTGCAGGACCAGAGAGGTAAGCGAGGCGGCTATACCTTTTGGAGATGTTCTTTGCTCTGAAGAGTATCACTTCCTCCATTATCCTTGGTTCACGTTATACAGGTTTCTCTCTTAAAGGTGTCCTAGCTTCTTGTGCGGGACCTGGCCTTTTCCTTCTCCTCTTTTGTATGTGCACTGACTATTTTGGTGATTTGGATTTATTAGGTTATGGAGCCATGACGATGGAATTTATTTTCAACTTAAGCTTATATTTCTGTTCCAATAGGATATGAATAAATGGCATAATAAACATGTGTGTATACGTAAGCACAGATTTTAATATCCTGTTTTTGCAGAGGAGTGGTAACAGGCTGGAAACCGTTGCAGCCTCCCTTCACAGGAGACCCACGCTCTAGGTGCATTGGGCCATGACTGGTGAGGAGGTGGACTTCGCCGTTAAAGAGCAATTAACTCGAGCAACAGCCACTGCCAAATTGTCGTGTTTGGCACTACCGGCACTACCAGCAAAGCCAAGAGCCTGTCCCTGCTTGAAGTCACTGGAAAGGTAACGTCTGAGCTGCTGGGGAGAGGGAAGTGTCTCATTCTTCTTGTAATAGGTCCTTCCTTTCCTTCAAGCAGCCCTAGTTAGGTTATGATTAAGGTTTAAGTGTACATGGGTATTTTTAATTTCAACTGGTGAGGTAATCGAGGACTGACCTCACTGATGCCGACGGCAAAACTCCCACTGTCGATGCTGCAGTCAGGTTTTCATTCAATAAAAAGCAGATAATAAAGAATGTGATTCATTGTGAATGGAAGAAAAGATGAATCAACCCAGGCCGTGTGGGCAGAATTTTTTCCTGTGCTATTAACTGTAGACTGGCATCAAGAAAAGGTCTGTCTCACTCCACTGTGATGTTTGTAGCTGCTCTTTGCTTCCTTAGGACTCAGGACAAGGATCCCTCACACAGACCCTGCCCAAGAGGCAGCAGAGCTGAGCTGTCACCTAGGGAAGCTGCCCAGCTCTTCTGATAATGTTTTACCACAACTAATATTGAAAATTCTTATCTGAATTATGACAAAGGTTAGGGTCATGCAGCTTCTTCAGGTACCATGATCATGTTATTTCTCATTCCTTTAACCAAGGAAATTTATTCCAGATACGTCTAGCAAAATCCTTAAATGAAACTGGTAGCCCTGGCCAAAGCCTGCCCTGATCCAAGATAGCAGGGACAGAGTGACCTTCATGTTCTCCTCTGCTATTCTTTCTCATGTGAGATCCCCTGCCATTTCTTCTTGCTGTCAGTCTGGCAGAGGTCCGAGGAAACACAATCTGGAAGGTTTGGGAGGATTTATGAACCAGGAGTTGCAAATGCAGGTTTTGGCTGGGCTCTTGAGAGCCTAAAGCTGCACCGAGTTAGCACCGTGCTTAGAAACATGCTAGTAAGACCCGTGACACTGCAGTTTGATGTAGCAGCCCAGTTCAGTTCTCCTCCTGTAGAAATAAGAGAAGGACGTAGCCATTTCTATTGATACCAGCATGTCGAATCTCTGATTTAATAATTTCCAAGTGATTTCACATAAATTGATTAGACGGCTGCTGCTGGTTTCTGTATTTCAGCAGCTCTGAATATGGGGCCCTCAGGACAGCATAAAAGTAGATTTGGGACTGTTTTGGCACCACTGGCCTCAGGCCTGACACTGATCACAGCTAATTTGGCCGGAGAGCTGTTGGTGGGCGCTCTACAGTCTGAAATGGATCCAAATCTCCTAGCTCTGTATTTGTTCTTTCCTCTGAAGAACTTAAGGAAAAGTACCCAGCAATGGTCACTGGAGTGAAACTTGTCCCTGAGGAAGAGGGCATACTTTATTTGGGAAATACAAATATTTCTGAAACAAGGTTAGGTTGTGGTGGCGTTAAAGTTATGAACACTGGCACATCAATATTCATACGTCACTGATTTTTTTTTTTTTTTGCTTTATCACTTTGTCCAGTGACCCCTGTGGCGCAGAGCCTTGTGCCAAGAGCACTGTTGCGGTGGAGCGCAGCAAGCGCGTGGCCTGCAGATGCAAATGCATGGAGCTCAATGGGCACCCTGCAGCGAGCCCGTGGAATTTCCAGCTGGGATTGCTAGAGTTCCAGCTGATCTGTAGACATGGGATGATATATTTAAAAATGCATGGCAGTTAGATATTTCCTCACGTGCCTCAATTTTGAGAAATAGGAAACATTTGTGATTTATACCGCTGTATCATTAAAGCAAAGGGGCACTTTGCCATTAAGTTCAGTGAATGCAGGATTGAGAACAACAGAACTAATCACAGAGTGCAAAAGTTCCCTGCACTAAGAGAAACAAGAAGAGATGAAGTTGTGATTGCTGCACCTTTGGCTATGGGAACAGATCAATGTCATGTTAGCTAAATTCAAACAACAGTATTAAATCTTATCTTTTTGAATCACTACTTCTAAGCTAGTATAAGGCCACTTTTATGGACATAACTGGTAGGAATTTGTTTTTCTTATAATTAGAACAGAATAATTTTGTATAAGAAAAATGAAAAATCTACAATTGTCATAATAATTACTTTTGCTTTCAAAAATGGTCAAATTACTGTAACAGAATAATATATTACAATATATAGATTTTCCTAAAATATACGTCAATGATATATGGGCTGGTATAATTTCTAGTACTCAACAACACAGCTATGAGTGCATAAAAATATTTTTGCTCTTTTGTTTTAACATGGTCTGTGAATAATGATAGAGATTCATAAAAGCTAATTAGAGTGAACTCCCAAAGCAACTGGTTGGTTGAATTAGTAACTGAAGAAAACAACGTAATCTGCTTCTAAGTACTTCTGACAAGGTAAATTAAAATTTAAGTATAAATAATAATTTTTCTTCTATTTGATTTTTTTTAAAAAAACACCTTAATCTTCACAGCAGCTCCCCAGACACTGACAAACCGACGAGCAAGCTGCCATGGGAAAATAGGTTGTAATGAAGGATATTTGAACACTGATAGCTGGATATGCATATGTCAAGTGGGATATTGCAAGAATTTCTGTGGTAGGTATATTGCATTATCCTGAGCTGCTAAAATCAAAGCACTTGTCTGTTACATACTTTAAATTTAGAATTTGTGATGTGGCTGGTTCTTTCTACCTGCTTCATTGTTTTCTGCCTAGGAAAATTCATTAAAAATTAATGTGTAAGAGTAGGGAAAAAGCACTATATTTAAAGATTCCATTATTATTGTTGTCTGTTGCAGTATTCTTTATTTTTTCATTGAATCTTCTGCTTACTTTTTAGCTTTTCCAGACCAAGAACTCCGTACAGACACGACATATTTATTAAGAGTAAAATTACCTACATGTCAGTGTGATTTTAAGTCACCACTGTTTTGTAACTTTGTCACTCACCTGCCTATTTCTCTATTGACTTCTAATTTTTCAAGTTGATCTTTTTTTATTTATTTCATTTCCTTATTTCTGTTAAAATAACGCTTTTCCTTAACGTAGTCGGCTTCTCTGTGTGGCAGCTTTGTCTCCCCCTCAGTTAAGGGAACAGCCGGGATGTTCTGACAGGCGCACGGATACGCGGGGCCGGGCTGACACGTGTGGGCAGCAGCGCATGCAGCCACCGCTGCCCTCGAGGGTAAATAAACAAACGTCAGCTCAGGGGAGCTCCGCAGGCCCCGCGCGGGGTGTTGATGCATATGAGAGGGGATCTGAGAAGACTCTACCTTAATGAAAAGGGAAATACAAGCGCAGGCATTTTCTCAGTATTTCCTTGACTTCATCTTTTTATTTTTTGACAGATGTTTTACCTCGTCTGCTTAGAAAGCTCTTCCTTCACTAAAGCATCATATCTACACACGATGTTGTCTTACAGCAATATACACTGTTACATGGTGTAGGTCTCAAAAGTCTTTTGGAGAATTTTCCCCAAATTGGAAAACTTTGTGAAAGCAAGTTGGGATTTCTCTCCAGCTGCTTTAAAATTGCTTCTGCTTTGGGCTGCCTTTCTGTAAGTTATTCTTCAAATTAGTTGCCTGATTGTTGTCCCAATGAGCCTACACAGTCACCCATATGTCCTTGCTCATATATGTACTATAAGTCTCGCTATATGATCTGTGTGGAAAAGCGTGGGGAATTCTGTAAGCAAGTCCATGCCCTCTTTTGTATCGTTTTTCATCCCTCCTGAGGAATGGCCTCACGGATGCCTAACTCAAAATTTTTGCCATATTCTCTGTCTGTGCATATTAAGAGCAGCTTTGCAATCATTTGGGAAATAAGCTGTAATTTGTGCTTTTATGAACCCCCAAATTACTGTGCCATTAATATATATTGAGAACGTACATACAAATGTGGAGTAAGGGCTAATAATAATGATTTCAGCTGATTCAAAGGACGTGCTCATAGTGTAAAATCATTAGACTTTTAAAAATATACTGGCTATTGCAAAGAATAAGAAACACAGAGCTCTGTGCAAAATGGGTCTAGCAGAACTTTACACTCAAACCCCAAGCACTGGAACACTACAAAAATATAACTCTATAGGAGACAAATGAAGGAAACAAAGTTGTAAATCAGTGATAGCTGCAATCCATAGAGCAGGTGAAACACCAGCTAAGATCCTCTTTTTAGGACCAAACATAGGCTTAGGACCAAATATGGTCCAAATTTAATGAAAAAGAGCAGCCATATCAGTTAAACTTTAAGTATCGGTAACACAGTGAGTAGAAGAAATAACGCAAAATAATTTGCATGTCAGTGAGGAAGGGGGAGCCTGGTTATGCTTGTTCCTCTCGCGCTTTGCCTGCTGACCTGGTGATGGGATGCAAATTCTCATTTCAAATCACCACATGGCACCGCGGTGTTGGCCGCCAAGCTGACGTGACAGGGAAGCTGCTCTGCACCTGCTTGAGCCCTCCTACAGACAGGGTAAAAGGCAGTCACTGAGCACGTTTTGAGGTGTCTCTTCAGCCCTATTACATGTTTTGCTTTTCCCTGCATGCTGTATTTTATGTGTGCCTGGCTGCGCGCAACGCCTCCTAATTTCTCTTTTCTGTTTGATTTCCCTCACAATGTTGGGGTCTGGAAGCAGGAGGCTGGCAACAACCCAGTGTGCTATTCTCAGCTGCCCTGCTAGCAACGCACGTCCGGAGCAAGGACAGGAGGGCCCTTCCCCAGGAGGCAGAGCCAGTGCGCGGGCGCCGCGTTCATCCCGAGCGAGAGGATTCCCGATTCCAGTGCCAAGCTCCGGCCGACACGAGCTCGCTCGTTGCCAGCTAGGTCTGCAGCCAGGCTGCCCTTGGTTAAGCAGATACTGACAGTGTTTGTGACATTGTGTGACAGTCTCTCACGTGGAGCAGGAGTAAAATAACCATGGATTTGATCAGATGCGAAGCTGGTGAAAGTTGTCTTTGTTCTCCTGAATTTTTGTATATGAAGCGAATCTGAGGACACATCCATGCACCTGAAACACACTTCAGCCTTATTCTGACATTGTTCCTCTAGTGTTTACAAGAGTCTTGCTTTGGAGTTTTAGCCTCATTTACCAAAGATTTTGTATGTCAAGTAGAATAGTAAATCCTTTAATGATTGCAACTACCAGCCAGAATAAGCTGCTAACATAATCAAAGCATAAAAGGCTTTATCATAAATTAAAATAAAATGTCCAAAATCTGCTCATCAACAGATATGAAGGAACAGACAGAAGCAATAAATCAGCTTAGCATCTTTAGTAGACCAGGGTTTCTACTACGGCCATACAGTGCCTTTCCAGGACGTAGATGATAAAAACTAACATCATGACCACTTAAACGGATCCAAATACATTTACTAAATGATAAAAGTCACCAAGGGAAGTAGGAGGCCTATTTCGCTTTTGCTGTGGCGTCACAAGTCAACTCAGTTTAGAGGAGCGCATCCCACTTACCAACCTGCAGAGCCTGCGCGCGCTGAGTGTGACTGAGAAGCGCTGGGGAACGACTGTGCATTTTGACAGGGGCAGTGACCGAGTGCTGTGCCTGGCCTGCCTCCTCCCCTCTTTTTGTGGCCCAGAATAAGTTGCTGTCCAGTGGAACTTACTTATAAAGTGAAGTTTAACGGATTTTGATAAGCAACCTTGATAAACTTCCTCAAATTTTTTTTGCAACCAAGGCAGTTCCGTTCCTCACTTGTAAATATACCACTATTTGCTTCTAAGTCCTGACCTATAGATCTTCAGATTTGTTAGGATAAAGTAAGTACAAAAAAAGAAAAAAAAAAAAAGCTGCAATCAGTGCTGGTTTGTTAGACAACTAGACCTTTTTGAGAGAAAATTATTTTATTTTTCAAGCAATTGTATAATCTACTCATAATCTGGTGTGCTTGATTAAAAATTCAAGATCATATTGAGCATTCAGGATATCGCAGAAGAACATCACAGCTCTGTACTGTCTTGGGGAAAAAAATGCATGTTACTGTATTTCCCTGTCAGACAACTTGTTCTCTGGATTTGCTTTCCTGTGATGCCACCTTGCTAGCATTTACCCCATCACCAACATCTCACAAAACGCACGTCAGCCACCAAGGGTTTTTTTTTTTTCTGGTCTTCATCGAATACGTGAACGGCAACTTCTTAAGGAAGAACAAGAAAAAAAGTTCATTTTTAAGTTTGACCAATGATCTATATAAGTGGATCAAGACAACTAGTGTGAGGATGGTGCAGCAAAGTACCCTTTCAGTCGTATATACTCTACTATTTTCCAGAGAGATGCAAGGATCTTATGTAATGGAAATGAGAGATGCTCTTTAGTGGTAATTTTCATAAAAAGGGTTAATGCAGAATGTGGAGGTGACAAGATACGTTATTTTATTACAATAATAGACTCAGTGAGGAAAAACTCTTTTATGACACGTTCCATTATTGCTGTTACAGACCCATAATTTGAAGATTACTGCTCAAAAAACCCAGACAGAAATGATTTTACAATCATGGGCCCATTAAAGGCTTAAGAATTGTCTGGTTAGATTAGGAAGAATTCAGTTGTTGAATGTTTTGCAATTTATTATGCTGCTTATAAAGTGCAGAGACACATGCACTTGTAAACGAGGCTAAATTGGCAGAACATCCCGGTCCCCTGCACGCTGCTTGCAAGGCCTCCTTGCCTCCCGACAAACCTCGTTTGTATTGATCTGTGTATTATTTCTGCATCTTTAGCACAGCCGAAATATTTATTTTAGGATTTGGTTCTGCCATCCCAAAGAGACAAGATGTGATACTATTGATCCTCTGGCCACTCGTCCATTAGGCACCCATTAAGCCACAGACTGGTGGACGAATATAAAACAATGACCATTATTTTAACGCCGTCGCAGGGTGGCTGAGACCACGCACACATCCACAGCCCAGTGAGGATCACCTGAATGCCCAAGATGTTGCTGCAGCCACGCTTTATATGCTCTGTTTCCCCGGCCAAATCCCGATTTGTGCTGAGTGGGTGAATTTTAAGCAGGATGCAGTACCATGGAGTAGCTTTAGAGAGGAAATGGCCACGGAACAGCTTTATTGTAGACACTCCTGAATGTATTTGTTTAACTGTGCCCTGTGCTTAGCAGCTCTTGGGCAAATGAAGATCTTTGTTCTTTTTCTAATTAATACTTTTAAACCGAGCATCACCCCCGGCAAATTAAATCTGCTTCTCTCTCATGTTTTAACTATTTAAACAGCCTTTGAGACCGGTCAAGATTATTTTTTGTGGATGCGGCACACCTAATTAACAAATACATGAAATATGTGGCTGAACGTATGCTTGGGGATAAACCAAACAGGTCTCGACTCGCACATCTGCATGTGTGAGCTGTGCACCAGGTTGTAGAAACCTGGCTCTTCCCACACCTGGCACGTCCCTGGCAGCACACACATGTTATTAATCCAGGTTACTACCGTTCTTGAACGTGTATTTATTTTTAACCTGTATTTTGTACAGTGCATGATCTAGAGCTGACACTTAGCTGTCAACTGAAAATGGAGAGCACACAAAACTCCACGTATCTGGTACAGGCATTATTGCTTATTTAGCTGCATCTTTTTCCCGAGGATCTTTATCGGTGTGCAGTGCGGAAAGCCCGTGCTTGCTGCAAGCAACACGCGTTGTGTTATTCCTTGTGCTTATTCCCCAGGAGTGTCACCCAGGCTGCGTTCACCCTGCCAAATCCAGGGATCCCGAGGGAGGCGCTCGCCTTGGCTGCCCACCCGAGAGCTGCAGCTTGGCCCACGCACATGCACAG